ATATATGTGTATGTATATATGTATATATCTTGGATATATCCTAAAATGTAATCATTCCTTGGTATTGTTCAGATAACCTTTTTGTGTTTATACTGGTCATTATCTCTTTTTCTTTATTAAAGTGACGGAATGGTTTGTTTTGTTACTTTAGTGAGAATTTTGCTGGTTGCATTCCCATGGTGTGTTGTTTTATTTCTCCATGATATGGAAAATGGTATTTGGATCTAGAGACGTGCTCTGTTTCAGTTTTAAGTTTTATCTTTTTTTTTTTTTTTAATTATTTATTTATTTCATTTATTTTGTGTGTGTGGCCAGCTCAGCCCACCAGGGGGCAGGGATGGCTGGCATGTGGTGCTGGGGGATTGAACCGTTGTCCCTGTGCTTTGTTAAGTTTGTTCTAAGTAGGTGCTTTAGACCACTGAGCCATCTCACCAGCCCTTAAGTTTTATCTTTTTAATAAAGTCTTCTCTAAGGAAACACATGGTGACTCTTCATGAGATATGGGCAGACATTGAGGCTCTGTTAATAGATCACGCCCCCAGATTTTAAACTGCTTTAAAGGGGCACTGTCTCTTTTATTTCCATATAACTTCTTGCAGCTTTGAGAATTTTATCTTGATATTCTTTTAAATCACATATTCTCTGATTCACAGTAGAAACTATAGATTTTGAACTGGTCTTCATCTTGGCATTTTTTTGCCCTGAAATTATGATTTGTTTTTCCTGTTTAATTTTTCTTTAGACAACAAAAACATGGAGTGTGAATTGAAGCTAATTAACTAAGATTCAATTTTCCATAGTGCTAACCATTTTAACATATTGATATTTGATGAATGATTTGATTCTTAAGTAATAAGGCTGTTTTGCTAATCTATAATAGCATTGTGTATTGGAGTTTTCATTACAGTAATTTATTTTCTTTTTCCCATAGAACATTCCTGATGTGGATGAAGAAGGCTATAGTATTAAACCGGAAGCAAATCAGAATGATATCCTTTTATTTTATTTATTTATTTATTTATTTATTTATTTATTTATTTATTTAAAAGTATATTTAGTAGAGGTTCTCACTATGCAGCTGAGACTCATACTGATCCTCCTGTTTTCAGCCTCCCCAGCGCTGGCATTACAGGCACGCACCACCATGCCCAGTCTCAGTGGCTGACCCAGCACACTCCAGGGGCAGGGCTGTCATGCATGTAGTACTGGGGATCGAACCCTGGTCCCTGCACTTGCCTAAGCAGGCTCTTAGACCTCTGAGCTATCTGGCAGGCAGTGATACCTTTTTATTGTGTGTGTATTCTTATGGACTGTGTTGCCATGTAAGAAGATAGTAAAAGCAAGATAATATTACTTAAAACCTCTTTAAATTTTATTTGGCTATAGCAAAATGATTTCTTTTCATTGGACAAAATTTTATTAATAAAAGTGATTATATTTTTGCTTTGTTTTACCTTTAAAAGTTTTGTTCTTTTTTATAAATATGTAGAAAACTGGGTATATACTAAGGTAATAAGACAACTAAATTTTTTTTAATTAAAAGAAAATCTTACATATTTGTTACAGGGTCTTGCTACACACCCCAGACTCATAGTGATCTTCCTGTCTCAGGCCTCTAGCACTGGGATTACAGGCATGCACCATCGTGCCTTATTTTGGTGGCCCGCACAGTACACCCGAGGTTCTGGGGCCAGCATGGCATGGGGTACTGGGGTTTGAACCTGGGTCCCTCTGCTTGCCAGGCAGACACTTAAACCGCTGAGCTGTCTCCCCAGCCTGAACAACTAAATTCTTTAACTAATGACTCACATACCAAAGAGAACCATTTCTACTCATCTAGTGATTCTGACTCTGAAGATGAAGAACCAAAGAAGATTCGGATAGAAATCAAGCCTGTGATTCCAAATAACTCACATTACACAATGGCTTCTTTGGATGAGTTAAAAGTATCTATAGGAAATATAACACTCTCTCCAGCAATATCTGTAAGTAAGAACATGAACAAATTTATACTCTTTATGTCTCATATCTATAGTTGATTATTTTCAAGACTAATAAAAAGTGTATGTATTTTTTATCAGTATAATTTGTAATGTACTGATACTGATAATGATTGCATTAATTGTGGGGAATAGGTACGTGTACATCTTACTTCCTTTTATTCTCCTTTCCTTCCATCTCAAGATCTTTTTCCTGTATACCAGAGATCTCTCTATTTCCTGTTGTCTGTCTTTTCTTTTGCTAGTGTATGTGTCTGGTTTACTTCACATATTAACATGGGCCAGCAAATTATTTATGTTTTAATGTCTAGGTCTTTGGCCCATGTTGATTTTATTTTTTTTTGCATGGCAGTAGCTACAGGTCTAGATTCAGTCTTCTGCGTGCGTGTAACCATTTTCCTGCTACCATTTTTTAAAAATTTTATTGAGAAATAGCAATAAGACAGTTTCAAACTGATTAATAGGACAGTGTCAATAATTAATACCTTGTACATTGTTATCTTCTTAGTGGTTATCCATGGTATAAGATGCAGACAGGATATTCTGTCCAAACACTATTAGTACAAATCTTTTTTCTCATTGAATTAAGCGAAAGTAGCTGTATATCTATCCTAACTATTCTGCATATACAGATACAAAATGGTCCTTCCTTTGTATCCTTTTTTTTTTGTTTAGTCCTGTCAGAGATGGGTATTCCATTTGCATCTAAATACTATATGTGCGTGAATTCAGCAAAAACAATCTAATACAGTCCAGCGGTCCACAATAGTAGTGGGTTATCCACCGAAGTTGTTGACTTGAGCCTTTCACAGCTCAGCATATTAATATGGCTTTACTTTATATACCTCATCTTTATACTTTTCTGCTGGATGATTAAGATCAAGATAAATCAAGACCTATATAACAAGAAATGTAACTTTTGTATCTGATATGGTCAGTCAGTTACCCTCAGGATTTATCCTGTAATTCTCTACCACAGGTTGCAGATCCTTTGTCAGTGTCAGCCATGTGGATGAGTCATGGCCATTGCTTGACCCAATTTGCTCTCTATGAAAACCTGAGAGAATGTTTTCTCTCCAGGTGACTCTCCTTAGACACATTGTGTACGTCATTGATCACGTTGCTCTGTGGCCATTTGTTAAAAATGCTAACTTTCTTGCAATGTATGTTTTTGGCCCTTTTATCAAAGTTGAAATGACTAAATGTACCTTGTGTTATTTTTGTTTTTCATTTTT